CTCACATCTTCCCTTGGTTTTACGTCCAAGAACGGCTTAAACGCCCTCTATGGGTCGGGGATAGGCTTCCCATCCAATTTTCTTAAAAACTAGCAAAACAAGGTCTTTTTTTGTTAGATTCCCAAGACTATGTTGAACATGTTCTTTATGGAATATTGACCATAAATCATGAATTATACGATGCATATCTCCACCAGGATGCGTCTCAAGAGTCAATAAAAGATTATCTAAAAATCCTTACTCAGGCCATCCTTAATGAATAGTATTTTATCTTCACGATTTACAAATATCATTCCTAAAGAACAATATTATATATTACAAGTCCATCTAGCACATCGATGGTAGACTTTCAGTCATTTTGCACAACGTTTCTTTACAAAAGTGCTTTTACCTGTTCCATATATGTGTGAAATGAAAGAATTGGAAGACTCACTTAATAATCAGACCTTTGCTTCAATTAACCAGCGAATCTCTCCGGAATTCCATGGTTCATTAACAACCTCAATCTTGCACACCTAGCTTGGTAAATTTTTGTAATCATATTTTGAGGCAAAGCGGGAAAATACTTTTTCAATTTTTTAAGAGTGGTGTCCATTTTTTAAGATGAGAAGTGGAAAAGAGATGCAAAGAGAAGAGAAGGAACAAGGAATTGAACAAATATATACACATATATCAGTTATCATGGGAAACTGAAAGAACCGACTTAAGAGTCATGAAGTACCGTTATCCGCCATTTAACCGAGGTGAGAGAGACTGGCAAACCAATAGTCACAAAAAAAATACAAAAATAATGTGAGAAAAACAAAATAATCAACCTTCATCTACAGGATCATTCAAACCAGTGGATTTATTTTCATTAGAAAAATTATCAAAGTAAGCTTTCAAACGATGTCCATTTACCTTAAAAACATTGTCATTCTTTGGATTCTCAATATCAAAGGCCTCATAAAGATACACATATTTCTCAATAAATGGACTACTCTATCTTGATCTTAGCTTTCTAGGGAATAAATAGAGTTGAGAATTATAAAACAAAACTTTTTGTAATGATCTAGCATTTTCAAGGCCAAAGTCACTGGATTTGTTTTTCCAATACACGTGCCCATAATATTATTTTTCCATACTCCTAGGTTTACTTTACATCATATCAACATATTAATAAATTCTCATTCTTGTTCTAATCTCGTATCATCACAAGTTCATACAAGAGTGTCAAACAACAAGTTACACAACTAGTACTTTTGTTATCTTGGCCACATTTAATTCTTACAACAAGACATCCTCATTAGATGACTACCCCAACAATCAAAGATCTCGATGACAAGAGTATGATTTAAAGGCATCATGTGACATTTTGAAATAAATCCCAACTTTTGACAATTTTCACAAGTCTTGCAGAATGCATATGAGTCCTTAAATATGGTGGGCTAGTAAAATCCACTTTGTAAGATTTTTGCAGTTATTCTTCTTGATGAGAAATGACCCCCACATGCCTCAGAATGACAAAATTTAATGACATTACTTACCTTATTGTCGAGAATACATCTTTGAAATATTTGATCAGGACAATATTTGAATAAATAAGGGTTATCCCAATAAAAGTTCTTCACTTCGTTCAAGAACTTTCTTTTATCTTGGGTACTCCAATAAGTTGGCAAATGTCCTAAAATAAAAAAAATAACAATACTAGCAAACCAAGGTATTGTAGAGACAGAAAATAAGGATTTATTAGGAAAGTAGTCATCGATTGGTGTGATGTCAAATCTCGAATCTGTTGTCAATCTTGACAAATGATCCGCGACAATATTTTCGGTGCCTTTCTTATCTTTCATTATAATATCAAATTCTTAAAGTAACAAAATTCATCATACCAGTTCAGCCTTAGAATCCTTTTTTGAAAGAAGATATTTCAAAGCTGCATGATCACTAAAAACAACAACAAGTGAGCTGACAAGATAAAACCTAAATTTTTCACATGCAAATACTATTGCAAATAATTCTTTTTCAGTGGTGGTGTAATTCATTTAAGTACTATTTAAAATTTTACTTGCATAGTAAATCACATAAGATTTCTTATATTTTCTTTGTCCCAAAACAACACTTACAGTATAATCAATAGCGTCACATATTATTTCAAAAGGTAATGACCAATCAGGAGGTTGAATTACAGTAGCAGAAGTAAGCAAGTTTTTAAGCTTAACAAAGGCTTTTTCACATTATTCAGTCCATTCAAAAACATTTTCCTTTGTTAAAAGGTTATACAATGGCTTAGATATAACACTAAAATCTTTGATGAACCTTCTATAAAAACCAGTATGTCCTAAGAATGATGTAACATCTTTAACAAATTTTGGTGTTGGCAAGTTGGCAATTAATTTGATTTTAGATTTATCAACCTCAAATTCCTTTCGATGAAACAATGTGACCAAGTAAAATGCTGTTTGTTACCATAAAATGACTTTTTTTCTAATTCAGCATAAGATTCTTCTCTTCACACCTGCTCAAAATCTTTTCTAAGTTAGTCAAACAATCATCAAATGAATCCTCAAAAACAGAAAAATCATCCATAAAAATTTCAAGAAAATATTCAATCATATCACTAAATATAATAAGCATGCATATTTGAAACGTGGCTGGTGCATTATATAATCCAAAAGGCATAATTCGATATGTAAAAGTATCAAATGGACATGTGAAAGTAGTCTTTTTTTGATCTTCCAATGCAATTTTAATTTGATTATAACCTGAATAGTTATTTAGGATACAATAAAATTCATGACCTGCAACTTTTTTTAAGATTTGATCTATGAAAGGTAAGGGGAAATGAACTTTTCTAGTCATTGAATTAAGTTTCATATAGTCAATGCTTTATACGCTAACTAGTAACAGTCCTAGTTGGAATTAACTTATTTTTCTCATTTGTTATCACAGTGACTCTAGACTTCTTGGGTAGGACTTACCCATTTGCTATCAGAAATAGGTTAAATGATTCCATTATCTAGAAGCTTAATGACTTCATTCCTCACTACTTCTTTTATATTAGGATTAAGCCTTCGTTGCATTTCTCTAGAGGGTTTAACATTTTCCTCTAAATAAATCTTGTGTGTGCAAATCAAAGGACTAATTCCTTTTATGTCAACTATGGTCCATCCTAATGTATTTTTATGAATTTTTAGAGTTTGTAATAACTTACTTTCTTTATGTGCATTAAGTTTGGAAGAAATTATTATCGAAAAAGTTTTAGTTTCTTCCAAAAATAAGTATTTGAGATTGAATGGTAATGACTTCAAATTAGGTTTTGGTGGTTGAACATATGAAGGTATAGACTCAATTGATCGTAGTGGCAACTCTTCAATTTGTGGTCTCCAATTACTTGCCTTTGATTCTTCCTGAAAATAAATCATTTGCAAATTCTCAAACTCATTAATTCAATTTCACTGGCAATAGTTTCAAATTGATCATGAACTAATTTTTCAATAAAGTCCACTTCATATAAATCATTATTATCTCCAGATTGCTTGCAAATGTTGAAAATATTCATCTCCAACGTCATATTTTCAAATGATAACTTCATCAGTGCATTCCTATAATTAATCAATGCATTAGAAGTTGCGAGAAATGGATGTTCTAAAATAATAGGAATTAAATTACATGCTTTAACAGTTTGTGTATCTAGGATAATAAAATCCATAGGATAAATGAATTTATCAACTTGTACTAACACATCTTCAACTATTTCTTTAGACACTTTTACAGATCTATCAGCAAGTAATAGAGTTATAGAAGTTGGTTTTAACTCACCTAGATTGAGACTTTGAAAGACTGAATATGGAAGTAAATTCACGGTAGCTCCGAGATCAAGTAAAGCTCTTTCAATTTTATGTTCTCTAATAAAGCAAGAAATTATAGGACAACCAGGGTCTTTATATTTCAAAGCATTATTGTTTTGGAGAATGACGCTTACTTGTTCGGCTAAAAAGACTTTCTTTTTCATATTTAGTTTTCTCTTCACAGTGCACAGATCTTTCAAAAATTTAGCATAAAAAGGTACCTGTTTAATAGCGTCCAATAAAGATATATTGACCCTTACCTATTTGAAAGTTTCAAAGAATTCAGAGTTATGATTGACTTTTCTTTGTTTGGTCATGGCATGAGGAAATGGAAGTGCTGGTGGGGAATCAATCTTTTCTTTGCAATGTTCAGCTTCAACAACTTCCTTAGCCTCGGAGATTAACTCATCATCTTTCTCACAAGGTTCAAGAGTAGGTTTTTCAATAACCTTACCACTGCGAAGAGTGATGACCAATTTGACTTGATCCGTGTGATGGTTTACAGAATAAATTGCATTTGCATTGTATTGCCTCTTGGGATTTTACTATGATTGAGATGAAAACTTACCTTTCTCTTGAAAACTGAGAGTAGATGTGAATTTCGCAAGAGCATCTTTTAGATCTGCCATGGTTTGAGCATTTTAAGTGTTGATTGTCTCCTGCTTTTTAATGAATGCATGTAATGTTTCCTCAAGATTTCTTTTAGGAGGTGGAGCATAAGGAGGTGTATATCAATGAGAATTTTGAAAATTATAGTTTGCTTGAAACGGTGGCTGTGAAGTTTGTGCATTGTTGTTACCACTCTTCCAACTGAAATTTGGATGATTTCTCCAACCAGGGTTGTATATTTGCGAGTATGGGTTATGATTGAGTCTTTGAAAACTATTTAAAACATGAGCTTGTTCATGGAGACATTCCTTAAAAGAAGGCAAAGTTGGACAGTCATTGGTTGAATGTTCATTGGTTTCACAAATTTAACATACAATGTCTTGAACAGATTTTAATTGACCAATCTTTTTTAATTCTAGTGCCTCAACTTTTCTAGCTAAAGATGCAAATTTAGCTTGGAGCTCATGATCTTCTCTAAGGTTGTACATACCTCCACTAGATGTATGAGGTTAAGTCTTACCTAGAGTCTCATAAATACTTGTAATGTCCTAATTTTAAGCATTTTCAGCTAGCAAGTCTAGGTACTCCATTACTTTGTTAAGGTTTTTATTTTCAAAAGTTCCATTGCAAATCAATTCCATCATTTGTCTATCTTTAGGTGTTAACCTTTCATAAAAATATGAAACCAATTTCCATGTTTCAAAACCATGATGAGGGCAAGTATTAAGTAAGTCTCGATACCTATCCCAACATTGGTAAAATGTTTCTCCTGGTTTTTGAGTGAAAGTGGTGATTTGTCTTCGGCCATTTTTTTTTTAAAATGATGAGGATACTCTACAAATTGTACCACTTAATGTACGTGACTAAACTCTCATACACGTATAGAAAGAAAATAAAAGGAGAAAGAAAATAAAAGAAACAAAAGTTAGATAAAAAAAATAAAAAGTGAAAATAAAATAAATATTATAATTTATACAAGAATTTACCTCCCCGGCAACGATGCCAAAAACTTGACACGATCAAAAAGTTGATGTCTTATCCCAAGTGCAGGAGTGTCAAAGTAATAAATAACCCGGCAAGACCCGGGTCGAACCACAGGAAAGTTAACTATATAAATTATAAATAATAACAATAATAAGAAAAAGAACAACAACAATAACAACAACAACAATGATGGTGGTGGTGAAGATGAGTTAAAAAGAACTTTGAGATGCAAGATTAATGTGAAGATTATACAATAATAAAAACAAATGTCAAGATTAGAGGGTACACTAATAGTATTAAAGATAAGTAAGGTATAAACTCTTTATTAATTATCAACATGATCATATTAATCATCTTATTTACATAACACCATACTTGTAAATTTTATCAAGTATTCATGATGCTAACTTATATTGACAACAAATCAAGTTCCTCTCATAATAACGATATCGGCCGAAGACTATAAAGGATCAAATATTTGATGTACCATGTGTTATACAACACAAATATAGGTTAACCATTTAACAAGTAAGGTATTAATAATTAATAAGATAAAAATGATAAGATATGTTAATAGCAAATTGTATAGGGTATAAGCATTAAAGTCTATATTGAGTTTATATTATACTTTTTCTAACACCATTAGTGAAACCTTTTCACCTTGACATAATTAACTTAGCTAGACATTATGAAGAAGAAAAACTTAAAGAAACAATATAAGAACATAAACATGATATAATTTAACTAAGTATAGTAAAGGAAATGAAAAGCATGAACAAGAGATTAATGAAAGCAAAACTTAAGCATTACAAAAATATAAAGAGAGAGAGTAAGAACATGATCTTGATATGAAAAGAAAAATGCCTAAATAAATGGAAAATACCTCCTTTTATAGGCTAAAATTTGGAACTATTCATTTGGTAATTGATAATTGATGTAGTGGCCAACTATTGATTAGTGGACTTGGTGAACAGCATCACTCAAGATTGATGTAATCAAAATTTGACAACATGTTCATCATGAAAGTTATTGGAAATTATCTTTTCCTTTCACCCATCAAATTTTAGATCATTTGGAGCACCACAGCTCGAGATATGTCTAAATTACTGAGTAGTGCTGCTGGTGGACGTGGTGGATAGCCCTCATGCTCTTGTCTGGATGAAGTCTCATTTCTACCATTCGAATTTGAGCTGGTCCTCTCATGAAAGTTGTTGGAAATTATCTTTTTCTTCCACCCACCAAATTTTAGATCATTTGAGCTTTTAGAACTCTAGTTATGGGTAAAACTCTGAGTAGTTTTTGGGCTAGATTGCAAAACATATTCAAACTTCTCTTTTGTGGCTAAATTTTGAATTTGAAAACGGCAAATTTGGATATTTCCCATAAAAATTATAGGCCTATTCCTTATCTTTCTAGCCATATAAATTAATATGAAATCCAAGATCTATAGCTCTAGATATGATCCGATGACTGAACAGTGTTCGAATTTGAAGTTAATTGGCATATCCTTCGTAAGGTTAGCCTTTTCTCTGTCCTTTCACTTGTAATAGTTAATCACAATAATCAATCCTTTGAATTGTGAGAATACTTGTATTTAAAATAAGCATTTACCATAAATTAAAGGTACCTTATATTATCAGACTTGTTATTATAAAACATGCTCTAGTTAAAGAGTTATTGATACTTTAAGTGTAAAATGATAATATCAAACCTTGATAAAAATACATTTTTAAGTACTAATCGCATTGCATTTATTATAACTAGTGGGGTAATTTGTTTGATGACTTTAAAACTAGAACATAGTGCATTTATAAATAAAATAGGGAATAAATGTTATAAATAGCTAAATGGTAAATGTCCTAACTAGTAGTACCACAACCAAATTTCTTGTCCTTGCTTCTGAGAAGATCGAACATAATAAGTTTTACCAAGGTCCAGATCATCCATATAATATAACCCTCTCTCTTAGTACCAAGGTAAAAAATCCTCTTCATGAGAACATCTTAAAACAAACAAAATAAGAAGTATATTAGCGTATAACTGTTTAAGTCTTTTATCATCTAACCCACAAATAACACATTTGTGAAGGGATGGTATAAAAAGAGTATTAGGGATAGTAAACATAGTTGAAAAATTCATTGTTCCTCCTCTTGAAATTGGATATGTATCACCATTCACATTTGATATAGCTTGCCTTCAAGGAGTTGGTTTTGTTTTAAATTCATTTGCATCATATGTCATGTGATTTATCCCTTCGACTCAATAATCTAATTGTTTACATTTTCTACATTTTTACCATTTGATACTACATTTATAAAATTGATAATACCTAGGTCAAGGTTGGTAAACTAATGATAAGGTTGACTGTTGAGTTACACAAATATGTGTGGGTCTATATTAATGACTAATGTTGTTTAGTCGTCCTTTTTTTTATCCTTCAAGTTCATACCACCACTCCAGGTACCCATGTAGCTGAAAACATATGTCTTTGGTATGGTCATTTCCTCCATAATGAGTGGACTTACCCTTGTAGGCTCCAATTTTAACAAAAGATAACCTGCTGGAATTTTATTCATAAGAACTAGGCCTAGACTGAATGGCCTGTTGACACGACTAAAAGGTTGATGTCTTCTCCTAAGTGCAGGAGTGTCGAAGTAATAAATAATCCGGCAAGACCGGGGTCGAACCACCGGGAGGTTAATTGTACAAATTATAAACAACAATTATAAAACAACAATAACAACAACAACAATAGTAATAATAATAATAA